CCCACCCCAAGGTGGTGAGTTTTTTCAGCCTGCGCTATGACACTGCCCCCACCTGGATGGTCCTTGCTGTACTCTGGTGCTCCATGGTGCAGACCCTGCTGCTGCCCTCCTTCATCTGGTCCTGTGAGCGGTATCGGGCTGACCTCCGCACTGTGTGGGAGCAGTGTGTGGCCATCATGTCTGAGGAAGATGGAGATGAAGGTGAGCACTAGGGGTGTCCGAAGTGGGCCCTATTTGATTCAGATTTGGCTCGAATCAGGGACAGTGATTTGATCTGTTGATTTGGATCACTGTCCCTGACTCAATTCAGCTGAATCCAAATCTGAAGATTCGATGCCAATTCGGAGAATCAGTAATTTGGACACAGACACAGCTTTAAATGTTTTTTCTACATACTTTGAGGTACCAGGCGCAGCTTGTGAATGCTGCAATGCTGAGGCAGATCGAGCGTCTCATAGGAGTGTGGGGGGTCCCTCCATGTGCTCGGCAGCGAACCCGCAAATGGACTGGAAGTAATTCCGGTCCACTTCCAGGTCCGCCGGGGAGCACATGGGGGGACTTCCCCATGCTCTCCCAGCTCGGTGATCAGCTGCAGGGGGACCCCGGGTACCCCCCCAAACCCAGGAGGGATCATTCACTGAGCTAGGAAGGCATGGGGCGGGGGCTTCCAGTGCACTCTCTGGCAGACCCAGAAGTGGACTGGTTTGTGCTTCTGGTCCACTTCCGGATCTGCTGCCGAGAGTGCTGGGGAGCCCCCCACACTCCTGTGGGACACTCCATGTGCCCCAGCATCGCAGCATTCATGAGCCACCTGCTGAGGTATGTAGAAAAAATATTTAAAGCTGTGTCTATGTCTGAATCACCGAATTTTTCCAAATCTCTCCGAATTGATTCAGAGGGTTCCGATTCAATTTGGAGAGATTAAAGGGTCCTTTGATTTGATTTGGATTCAGAGATTCAGCACGAATTGGGCTGAATATCCACCAAATTGATCAGGGACTGAAGCTTTGCACAGCCCTAGTGAGTATCTCTCAAAGCCCCTGCTGCTTCCCTTATCCTGCCCTGGGGATGTACAGTAGGAAGGGAAACATCACTTAAGCAAGGGAATGAGCAATACTGGGGATGAGAGCAGAGCACTTTCTGGGGGTTAGGAAGAATTCAGGCTGTAGCTGCGGAATACAGGCTTCATCAGGAAGCAGGAATTTGGGAATTCAGGCTTCAGCAATACAACTTTGTGTCAAGGCTGGAACCAGAGATGCACAGGGTGAACAGAATGACTGAGGTGGGGAGGGCAAATTAGCAGGTTAGTTTGCTTGCTTCCCAGCAGTGTGATTTAAGGGGCCATTTGCCTCTCAGTGTTTGTGGCAAGAGCTTCAAGGGTAGAGCCAGCCTTGAGAAGGGCAAACAGGTCCTTGCTGTACTATGGTGCGCTGGCCCTGCCCCCTCAGCCACATGAGAAGGGGATCATTAGGAAGAAGGGGTTGTCCTGCAGGGGAAGGGAGGAGAAAACCCAGAGGGCAAGGAGGGGAACTGTGGGACACTTTGAGAACTGAGGCAATGCAAGAGGGAGCTAACCATGCTGAGTGGACATCTGGTAAAAGGACTCTGGTAAAAAGCCTCTGGTGGCTGACAGCACAGTGCACTGCTTCTTTCCTTCATTCCAGATGGTGCCTGTGAGGATTATGGCGATGGCAGGATCTGCAAGGTGCGATTTGATGCCAATGGAGCTGCAGCTGTGAAACGGGACCCCAGAGAGGTCAAGCTACTGCCCATGCACCACATGCTGCTCCCTCAAGACAAGGTGCATTACCTGCAGGTGAGCTGTAGGGACTGCAATGGATGCACCACCCTCCAGCCCTTTCTGCCTCATACCTAACAGTGAAAAATTCCCTTGTCTGGAACTCCATTGTAGAGTTAAAGGGGTCATCCTGTTCTGGTCTCCCAGCATGACTCATTTAGTCCTCCCTATAGCCCTCTGTCCCTCTCTTTGCTTACTCTCTGTTGGTTTTGGCAAGCCTCCCACCATTTCCCTTCTCACCTGCCATCTCTTTGTTCCTCATTCAGGTCCCCATCTCCCGAAGAATGTCCCATGATGAGACAAACATCTTCTCCCACCGCTCTGCTCCATCTTTTCTTCACAAATGGTCCTCGTCTGATGACATCCGAATCTCCACCCCCCGCAAACCTGGCAGTCCTGGATTCCTCCCTCCTGAACTGCGTGATTACCACCACCGCCGGCGACCCCCTGAAGATGAGCTGACCACACTCCGGCAGTTCCTGGAGGGGGGGCTGGGCCCCCGAGGGGCTGGCTCCAGCGCCTGCTTTTTCCGGGATGAGATCACTACCTTCATTGATGAGACACCACAGCCCTCCCCTGCCTGTAGTCCACGGCACTCATGCCTCCAGCTAATGCCACGCCATGACAGTCACCACTGTCTGGGAGGTGGCATGGAGGAGGAGGGCTCTGACTGGGCACAGCACTGTTTGCTGATTGGCAGTGAAGCCTGGCATCTGCAGGACGGAGAGCAGGCACTACATGAAAGGACCCTTGGGGCCTGTGAGGCACAAGCCTTCCAGGATCCCAAACTATAAGAGACAGTGTCAGAGACATTCAGTGCCATCAGGATTTTTAAATAAATAACTTTAAACGTTCCCCTAGTCCCAGATCCTAACAGATAATTTATGTTCACATCTCTGTTTCCAGCTGACAGAAAGGAAATGGTGCCCTTGGTTTATGCTGACCTGGTAGGGGCAAAGAAGTGTGACAGGCCTATGGGAGGGAGCCATGGACATTAGCAGTCGGTGCCTGTTCTCAGGTTATAAACAGGACCACAGCTTTGTCGCCCCCTTGTTAACTCCACCCCCTCATTAGCCTCACCCTTGCATTAGCTCTGCCCCATCACAGGAAATACTCCTGGAGCTACGGCAGACAGAGGATGGTATTAAAATTCTATATTTGGAGTGTCAGTTGTGTGTCTGTTTTTAAAATAATGCATTAATAATAGTTTTGTTTCCATGGAAACAAAGTGATTGATCAGATGTTTAATGAAGCTTCCCAGGCTGGGGAGAGGGACAGGAAGAAACACACAACACCTACCTGGACAGGGCAGCTGGCCCAAGTGGTGGGCAGCAGATACTTAATAGCAACAGTGCAGGGCAAGAAGTGGGGCAGAGTCCTGTACCAGGGAGGATTTTCACAAAGCAAGAGGCAAAGTTCTGCTGCCAGTCTCAGGAGTAACTCTGTGTCCAGCTGGAATTCCCATTGCTACTACTGCTCTTTCCAGCAGTGGTGCTAACAGTAGGAGGGCAGGCTTCTGCTTCCTAACCCTGCGTAGAACCAATCTCTCTCTTTGTGCCAGACCCACTCTACAAACCAGTGAAAGTCACATCACTGACACCCTTACACCAGAGGCCTCTCAGGCCTTGGCTCATCCATGTGAACTGCTGACCTTCACCCACAGACTGCAGAATCCCCACTGCAGACATGCACCCTACACAGCATTCCCTCGGCTTTACTCCCAGATGTAGGGTTTGAACCAGGGTCTGCCAATAAACAGGAGACAGTGCCTTTCATTTCGAGGGCACTGGTTCCAAGCCTTCCACAGGCTGAGGGGACTGACTGGCTCCAAAGGACTGTGAAATAAGATACACAGGCCTTTACATCCAAAAACAACATGAGCCTAAACAGCATTGGGACGAAATAAAATGAGGCATCTGGGTTCATTGAGACAAGAGGGGCATCTCATCCTATGCTAAATCAGTCTAGTTAGGGATGCTAAACAAGGCCAGGCTATGGTCAGTCTTGGGGTGCAGTCAGGGAAGCCAATTCAAGAAGGGCAGGAGGAAGTGATGGGGACCTGTTGTCCCATACAGTATTGCAGCTGGGTTGGCCCAGGCACTTGCAAAGCCACTCTCCAGTTACAGTGGCCAGAGAGGAAAAGGACAGAAAAATGCACAGGAATGGGGAGAGATGGAGGGCATCTGGCACATGAACCACGTGGCTGGAGCTTTACTGCCTTGCAAGGTACTTCTCTGTGACTGCTCACATGCAGGCTTTTACCTAGTGGTAAACCAGAGCTCACCAGAGAGCCCCAGGCCTGCAGCACAGCATACCCCTCCCTGACATCACCCTAACTGTGGCCATGTGCCCAGGCCCCAAGACAGGAGGGCTTTTTCCCTGGAACAGATGGAGATGGCACAGCTCCCTTGGGGTGGTGGGATGCTGTGCCAGCCCCAGGCCCACAGAGATCAGGAGCCAGGACAGCCTGAAAAGAGATTTCCAGACAAGTCACAGAGCTGGAGTCAAACAACCCCCCTTGCCACGTGGCTTGGAGAGGGCTGGGAGCTGGGAGCAGCACAGCTGGATTTATTAGGCCAGGGGGAAGCGTGGGGCTAGGGCCCAGCAAGTAGAACTAGAAGCCTTCCTTAAGGGGGACACTGTCACAGTGGACCCCTTGGGACAAGTGAGAGGAGAAGAGGAGGAGGGCGAGGGTCACAGGAGTGCCCCGAAGGGGCAGGGAGCCGCAGGAGGCAGCGCAGG